GCCATAAAATCTCATTTTGCTTCATTTCTTAAAAGTGGCATTATAACAAAAATCATTGAGCTTTACAAGGTCAGCTACAGCAAGTTACAAGCCACAGAAGTGCCGGCTGTGCCTTACGTTGTTCTCAGTTACATTGGTAGAAACCCCAAATAACCAGCTGATTTCAGCAGAGATTTTCACAATGAGAGACACCAGGAACAAGTCACAGATTTTCTAACTTTAGTTTGGATGAAAACCTGGGTCTTTTTCATACTATCTCAAGGTATTCAGCATTGATTTAAATTAAAATCTCTTGATGCAAAAGGCATGCAGATGCAAACTTCCGTGTTCAGTTTTTGCAACATATCACCTGAGAAAAGTGCTAAGCTACATTTACAGTGTAAAGTACATGATAAAGTAGAACCTGTCAGAAAAAATTTGCTCTTGTTCTGCAAAGTATATCACTTTGCATTGCACAAACTTACCGCAGCGAAAAAAAAAAAAAAAACATTCAAATCAATATATTCTCGGGAAGGAAGGGGGCTGGTATAGTGGTTTTTGAAGGCAAGCCAGGGAATAGTCTAAACTGGGGACACACAGCATGTTTTAACTGCTGTGATAATTCTGCATAAAGAGATGTTAAGGATCTAGCTCCTTGCTGTAGCATGCCATGTGTCCCTGAATAAAATTACTGCCGTGCAGGCTGTTAGTGAAGGAATGCGTAAACAGACAATGTATCCTTGCATCAGTTCCACAAAATGTTGCACAACACAAATGCCTCTCGATGTGTCATTTCCTGCTTGGCCAACAGCCCAGCTCCTGACATTCAGCCAACAAAAAAAAAAAAAAGAGAGAGAGAGAAAGAGAAAGAGAGAGAGAGAGAGAGAGAGAGAGAAGAAAAGGAAAAAAAAACACAGCAAGATTTAAAGCTGCTCTACTCAAAAGCACATTCCACTAGCTCCAGACGTAGCCCTCCACCCTCAGCCTTTGAAAGAAGGGAGAGAGAGCACTTCCTAAAAACTGCTACGGTTTTAAGTCTCGGAATCTCAAAAATCTCAGTCACTTATCTGCGTTTTATAAGCCAGTCAGCCCAACAGTTAATACGGCGACCGACGCGAACCTCTCGCTTTTGCTGTCTTTTGCAGCGTGCACAGACAAAAGGGCAATGTTTGCTCATACCTTTCGTCACATGTGTACCTTACGAGCTACGGAGGCAGATAAATATTCTCGAGCTGAATGAAAGCAAGCATTTTTTCCCCCACCAAAACAGTTTCAGTCCACAGCGTAGAACTACTTTTCCATTCAAGTTGAGATACAAAACCGTGGCCAGTGAGTTTGGAGACTATTTTTAATGAGAGGTGATCTGAAGCCTTTGGAAGCTAAGCAAAATATAAAAATATATATACTTCTCCTCCCTCCCTCCCCATGATTTCCCTTACTGTCTTGCACTTAAACCAAAAGCAGCCAGAAAGGAGGACATCTCTGCTACTGCAAGCAGACTAGTATTGGAACGGCAAATCCCTGTTTCTATATTTTCTAACAAGGTAAGGCAAAAGCATTAAAGGAAGGTTAAGCAGGGTGTGTTTTGGGTTTTTTTTTTTCCTGTTAGTTCCTTTACAGCGATATCGGGATATCTGTTGGTCAGTTATGACCATGATAACTCAGCTCTCTGGAAAACATCTTTCAGCCCTTGCGGCTGGAAGGCAGCTCTGTTGGCTAAGATGTGTACATAACAGAGGTTTTGTAAGGGACATGAGGAGGGAAAAATATCTGCAGGATTTCCCAAGGTTCCCCAAAGATCTTCTACAACCCACTCTCTAGACTCCATCACTCAAAATGCAACGCGCTCTCCCACTCCTGTGCAAAGACGGTGCAACAAAGCCAAAGTCCCTAAACAGTAATCTAGTTAGCCTGAAACAGATAATTACAAACAATTTTTTTTCTAAGGGATAATCATAAGAAGATATTTACCTTTTCTCATGTAGAAATGGGCAGGTTTCCTAACAAAGCAACCTGACATCACTGTCTCTATTAAAATATTTTAAAATAAGAATAATAACAGAGAGGTAAGGCAGCAAGCTTCTACAGGCATGGGTTTAATACAACTAAATGGCATTTACATTTAAGAACTTGACTTTCTCAAGTGCTGAGCATCCAAAATACCACCTGGAGTCACTGAACGCCACGAGCGTTCAGCACTCCTAATGTCAGACTCATTAAATGATTTTGATATCTGTCATGGTGTTGCTGCTGTTCCTACTGCTGCTGGAAAACATACGGCATTTGTTCCCTCGAGTCAGCTTGCCAACAGAAGGTCAAAGTGCCTTGCCTATAAACAAGCCTTACAAATTCATGATCTTAAGCATGATGTCATGTCTTAAAATGATAAGCTGGCAACAAAGTAAATGACATTTTGTAAAGATGTGCATAATTTTATGTTTACGCTACTAAGAATGAAGGTTCTAGTAAGTCATTGGTTGTGTTCCTTTAAAGAGAAGTTTTATAACTGAGATGAATCACAACTGCAAAAGATCAAAGTTAAAAAACATCAATGATGCCATGGGGTACTTTTTAATCTTGTAATGAATGATGATCATGTGCTCTTATGAAGTTGGTCCAACTGCCAACACCAGATGTGTATATTAAGAAAAAAGTTGTTTGTGATGTGACAGCTCTGGTTGAGCTGCCAGAGAGAGAAAAAATAGGATAACGTGCCTAAGACGTCTAAGTGAAATACTGGCAGAGAGGGGCACTATTTGCTGATACGTAATTCGTTAAGAAAACCACATATGCTATCAGAGCCACTCGTTGGCTTGAATTCCTTATTGCTCCCAACCACCTAGTTTTCCTCATACAATGTAAATGCCAGATGCACTTATTGAACGATTACTACCAAACAGTAATAAATCCACGTGAATGCAAGGGCTTTAAGAAGAAAGCAGAACTTCAGTGAAATGCCTCCCGTACTTCTTCTGCAGCTACTCTTTCCCTAAAAATTCAGATTTAACAACTAGTGGCAACATGGCCTTTTGTCATAAGCACCAGATTGAAATAACAGGACTTGCAGAACCAAACAAACCCTAGAGTAGAACAGCACGAAGTATTCAGCCAAAATTTTAAAATTCAAGTGACCATTCATGCTTACATTTGGCTGACTTCTTAAAAAAATAAATAAATGAAAAGAACTCCATTTAGGCTATAAGAACTGATTTTCTAAGTTACCGAGTTTTCCTGGTTTCAGCTGAAATCAATGAGAATAGCAGATAGGCATCATCTGCATTGGACTGTCTTTCAGGGCTAAACTAAAACACTCAGGCAGAACTTGGAAATCTTGCTAAGTTATATTAACACAGCCTCCCTTTCAATCCATTGAATACCAAAATGGCTCAGTCCCAGCCTAAGAAGGTTCCTTTTCTGTGTTACAAAAAGTAGTCCATGCTACTCTCTGCATCATTTTCATACTGCTCTGCTCTTTCATGACATTCGTTTCCTCTGCTAGGAGACCTCCCTGTTTGCGAATACTTTGTCACGCGGAAGCAGACTCCAAATGGATTGAATGGTAACGGATTACTTATTCCACGGACTGTACTGCATGAATGAAGTCTGTCCAATGTCTCCAAGTAAGCTACACGGAGCAACAGTTGCAGGTGAAAATTAAGAGTACTAATTCAGCTAGGAAGAGAAGACAGAACAAAAATCCCCTAGCTGTGACAGAAGGACACCTCAAATGTGAACAGGCAGTGACACAAGTATCTGTGGAATGAAATTTATCTATAGCTACTTGTTTTTTCGTATTTGTTATTCCAGCTGAAACTCAACAGCCTGGACAGTTCTTATAAAAGGTACTTCAGTTTCCTTCTCTCAATGGAGGAGGAGGAGGTGGCACTGCAGCATGTACTGGCATTGGAAACACTAAACTGTGTGAATTCTGTCTCCCTGCAAGCTCCTTAAAGGTCTCGTTTGTATTTGCAGATCAAAGGCAAAATAATTATTTGAGATGCTTCCATTACAGGGATCTTTTTAATGTGGTTACTCATCAAATAATTCTTAATCTCTCAGTGTAATTTAAATACAGCTATACCTGGTTAATCCAATCAATTTGGAAATGGTTATTCTACTTAGATAAGGAAAAAACTCCAGAACTGGCTCATCAGTGATTCCCATATGAGTCTGGTTACCAGTTAAATCTGCTAGACGGAGTGACAGATGATGGATTAACCAGACCTGACCGTATCTAAAAGTCAGTGTTATCCATAACAACTGCTGGAACATGACAAAATATGACTGTCATAAGAATTTGGCCAGTAATCATTACAAATAGATTCTCGGTAAGTTAAGGAGGTGCTCTGCTCTGAGGTAAACAAGTTCAGTGAAAATCTGCTGGACACTGTTTAAATAAATTACACTTTCTGTGCACAAATAAGAAACAAAGACCGTGCTTTTGATAAACTGCTTTTATAGCTTTCTTTGGCCCCCAGGGGTCTGTGATGAGTCCATAGCTGAAAACCAGTTTCAGGTATGATGAGATTAACCAGGTGCATTAATTATCTGATGGCAAAAGAATTTAAGGGCAAACAAAAAGGCACTATATTATGTATTTTCTCTCTCTCCTAGGACTGATCCTGCAAGATCAGTCTCCCATTGTGTTCTAAATGTCTTCAGTTTGAAGTTGACGGGAGTTCAGGGAATTCAACATGTTGCAGGACTGTATGTATTACCTACCCCTAAATCAGATTATATATAAATACAGTGGGTTTACTTCTCATTTACGCTGGCAGATAATGTATCAAGACCTTGATGTGAATGAAAATCAGGTTCATGATTGCCCAGATTCAGCCAAGCACTTAAGTGTGTGTTTAATGCAAGTATGTGTGTGGTCCAATAGACTCCAAATTAAGCATGCGCTTACATATTTTGCTGAGCAAGGACCAATGTTTGACAAAGATATATATTTCATTTATAGGTCTACGTTAAACAAAACTAAGCAGACGTAAGTGCAAAAATAAGAATATAATACTCACTTCTTGGCTCCCTTGGCCCATCCACTGTAACCTTTATAGCTCTGTGGTATGTAGCGACTTGGGGGGGATTTGTCAGGACAGTTATTGTCAAAGTAAAGCTCTTCCCTACAAAGGGAAAAAAACAACAAGGAGTGAGTGATTACAACATGAAAACAGTCACATGCATGTTCAGTAAAGAATCAGAGACGTTTAAAATTATTCCCTGTCGTTACCACAATCGTGAAAATTAAAACCATAACTGACCATAGGAGTTTTCCTCCCCTTCAGTTTTACTCTATGTCAAGAATATGTCCATGTGTTGACAATCTAAATGCTCCTTATTTAATAGCAGGTCATCATACAATGACAGAACAAAACTGATTCACTGCTGAGGACAAGCCAAACTCTTTTCTGTATTGAAAGTGGTGTAAATCCAAAGCAAGTCAGACAATTTAAAAATTTACTCCAGTTTTGCAGCTCGGTGACAGAGAGCAGAATGTGGCCACATGTTATTTACGTCACACGGTTTTATCATTTCATTTGTTCGACTTGACTACAATAAGATGAGGACAGAAAATATCTTCCTCCTGGGAGTCATTTTAACACGGAGCCAGTGTCTCTTGTCCTTAATATGCCGGGGTAACATGATGATATCATCATTACTGGAACAGTTTTTTTTTTTTTTCCTTACATATATTCCATCTATTAAACGCTAAGAAACCCCTCAACTTTCCAGTGACAGCGAGAAACTGTTTGGTGCATGCATGCTTCTGTCATAAACCTGCATTTTCCTTTTTCACACACACACATTGCACAAGATCATCTGGAGCCTTCAGCTGAATGAAAAGATTACCAATAAATAAATAAACGGGGGCCGACTGAACTTGAGAGCACGTTCTCACAAGGCACTGGCCTCTGTTTTGGAGACGCACTGACAGTTGTAATCTGTTAGATATGCAACGGTTAGTCACGTCAGATAGTCAAAACTGAAAACTGTTTCAAGACAGGAAAAGGTGGGCGTCTAACAGTGACTCAATAAAACAGTCAGCAATCTTAGGCCTTATTGCTCATTTAAGCTGCTACTTTACCAGACTCTCAAGGCTCCTTTTTTTCCCCTCTGTGTGCGTGTATATGGGCATTTTTGTTGCTAGCGTTTTTGCTCGCGTTGAACTCTGAAAGCATTCGATCAAGACACGAATCTTAAACAGTATGTAACTGCACAAACTTAACGCAGTCTTTTCAAGCCTAATATAGAACAGCTTATATATAAGGCTTAATACAGAACAGAACTTTGGCTGTCAAATCTAGTAATTGGTCTTTCTTTCTAGTCCAAGTCATATATCCCCCAAACCTGCTAGAGACATGCATCATTTATTATCAGGAGTGCAACTTCAAACTGTCTTGGCTATGTTTTTCATGAATTAGAATGTGACATGGATTTTTTTTTTTTTAAATGAAATATAACCGTCATTTAGAGCAAAATGATTTTCCAGGTGTAGCTGCACTCCAGCTGTGCCCATCTTTCCAAGAGACACAGGTTACAGCAGGGAGGTCAGGACTCCCGCAAAGGTGTAAAAATCTCAAGAGGCCAAACTCTGCCACAAAAAACAACCCCATTTCATTGGAAAATGGATTATTTTGCAGATCTTTCAAGGACGATCATCACAGGAGAGTTAGGTGTAGGTGGGATGTCCAGTCTTTCTGTATACACATGAAATCGTTCAGTGGTACCCATCCACCGGCTTGCTGAGGTCTGAATAGGGTTTGTGCCTTTTCTCCCCAACCAAGCAGGAAAGGAGCCCATTGCCTAGCTATATAAACTCACTAGGGAGGATGTACAGATTTAAAGCCTCCTTTAATGCCAGTCTATAGTGCGAAAAAGCTCTGACCACAAAATTATATGACATTGTCATTCAGATCACAATTACCTATATCGAACGAATAGAAAATTATTGGCAACCGCTGGTGATGCTAAGGGGATGCTCCCTGTGCCTTTCAATGAAGAATTTGGCCTTCCAATGTTATTGCTCGATTTCTATGCCAAAGGCATCTAAAAGCCTATTACCACTAAAAAACAACCCATCAAAAGAAACTATTTGTAATACCCTGCGAAGGCAAAGTCACTCTACAGAAAAACACTGCAAGATCTTCCACGCTGCACATACCTCAACATGACACAGGGGCCAGAAAATACGCGCTCCTGAATATAAAGAGCTACATTTTAACCTCGCCCGTGAGCACGTCTAAATCATCACCTTGCAGCCAGCCCAAGTTGCACAGGTAGGCATCTCATTTGAAAGGGAAATAGTTTTTGTTCCTAGCTTACATTCTAACTGCACGGCGGCCTTAATGAAGTAACATTGCTGAAGTCCCACCACGGGCCGTAAACAATACATCACTTTATTGCAGGGAGCTGCACAACCCTGCCAGCACAGTCAGGTTCCCGAGCTTTCAAGAGATGATTTACATATTACAGGATTAGGAACAAAATAAATTTTTAAGGTCGCATGTTTCAATGGTGCTTTTGCTTTCCACAGATAGATGTAACTGATTTCCCAGATCTCCTTCCTCAGCTACAAAATCCTTTAATGCACTTTTTATCGCCTTCCTTTGGGCCCTTAGTCATTTAAATTATCCACTTTTAGAACCTAAAGACTAATTTTAGTACTCTTTTATTAAATTCCTAGCCAAGCAGTCATCTGGCACTATTGCTTTAGTGTGTCTAAACTATACGTTCTTTGTTATTAACACATGTGAGTCTAGCTGACACAGAAAAGGACAAGATGGACATATGTTGAAGCACAAGGCGAAACCCAGAAATTAGCTTGAAAGGAGACTCAGCAGCTTGTGCCTGTTGCATATTTTTTCAGTTAGATACTAATGTGATTAAAGTATCAGGACACAACAAAATTATGGTTATGATCCCCTGCTTATTGAAGACAGGAATTCTTTCTTCTCTGGGCTGCGGATCAGGCTGTAAAAGTGAGCTACTGCCTCAAAACCACATACAAACAACTTCAGCATTCACACAGAGAGCTCTGGTTACTTATTCTTATGAATCCAGCAAGGTGTTTGAGCAAAATTATACAAACAAAAACGTGCAGCTTCTGTCGGCTAGCAACACTAACATGCATAAAACTCAAGTTTCTCAATTGAGCCATGAGAAGCAAGAAAAAAAAAAACGTGGGAGAGAGAGAAGGTGAAGTGGTAAGTTGATGATTCAGACTTCACAATCAAATTTAGAGATACAGAGATCAAAGAGCAAGCTGTTTAGAAAGATGTAAATCTCAAGTCAGGAACAGGTGTGGATTAGTTGCTCGCCACCGAAAAATGATTTCTTTCTTACTTTATTTTTCCTGTTCTACTTCAAGACGCGTATCTACTGATATTTGTCTATGTAAGTAGCTTTCTCACTTCTGTTTGCAACTACTGCTTTCTTTCCTGCTATTTTAAGCAGGTTTTAAAAATCTATCATTAATGATAACTCTTTCGCCTTCTTTCTCTCTCTCTCTCTCTCTCTCCCTCCCTCCCTTCTCTGTTCTAAGTCTGGAAGACAAGTCTGGACCAATTTCTCCATCCTGCCTCTGGCAGCAGAACGCAGCATTTCAGATCCTCCACCGAGTCCCGGCTGCTTCAAAGGGAAAGCCCTACTTTCTTCCGTTAAGATCATAAGAAATATAGGGGGAGGGGGTCAGCTCTGTTTGGACATAATTACACTTCATCAAAAGAAGCTTTCTTCATCTTCCATGCGTGAAAAGTCTGCAAGCAGTTAAGTCTGTCTTTTTTCTTCCTTTTTTTTTTTTAAATATAAAAATTGCTATTTGGGCAACTAGCCAAAACTCAGAAAGCCAATATAGTAAAACAGTGCACACCCTTTGTTTTTCTTTGAAGTCTCTTAAATAAATATGTTGAGGGTTTGAAAAGTACACTATCGCTTTTCCATAGATTTTACCTAGATTGATCAGAGAAAAAAATCTATTCCAAGTCTGCTAGATACAGAAATAAATTAAATTACTGGATGCGAATTCGAGAAGTTTTGTGTTTGTGTGTATCTATAGCTGTATCTGCTGATTCTTTAGGCCCTTTACTTCATTTCCTATGTTTCAATAAAAAGTATATATCATATGCTTCAAATGAGATTCACAGATCAGAGGTAGTACATCACATCTCAGTTCTGTTTCATCGCTACTGAAACACTGATATACTACTGAACTTTCATCGCAAGGCAGCACTAGCGATGGGGCCAGAGAGCCTTCAAACCTCATCCATCAGCAGGATCGCAAAGCAAACAGCTTCTTTAAAAAAAGCAAGACAAACGGCAAAGAGGGGTAACACCTTATGCAAAAGGGCAGTGAACTCCCTATTTGTATTGGATTACTTTTGCGATGCTTTTGCTTTATGTCAAGGTATTCTTTGTCGCCAATAATTTCCACGCTGTAAAAAGACAGGAGAACTGTTGGCCAGGTCCCTAAAATAAAAACTGGTCACTGCGAGCCACACTTAAAGAATCACCTTTACGAAACTTTTGTAACTGTGAAAGCATGTCGTCTGATTTAAACTACTGAGCAATCTGTATGGGCT